ATAGGCTGCTGTTATTTACAACGATACAGCAAAAACACTTTTATTTTCTTTTTTTTTAAAGACGTCTATTTGCCTTATTTTTTCCTGACTTCTTTTTCTTTTTGTATATACTTTTGAAAATACTGATACTTCAGTTGTTCCTAATGTTGCAGTGGTCAGAAATACTGTTTCTATTGAACACAGAGGGGGGACTTCCTTTCTCCTGGAGCTACCTCACTGTTGAAGTCTTCATACTGCTTACAGTTGGGCTTTCTAGCCTGGCTGTGCCTTTTTGTAGTCTTGTATTAGACAAACTGCGTGCACATTCTTTTGAGAAGGGCTCTTTTGGAATTCTACTAGGAGCTGCCTTTCTGCTGGAGTCTTAGGATGTGTTCTTTCAGCAATATGAGGAGCTTCTGTTCTTAGTGACTAAATTCCAGTACTTTGTTTTTTCTATTCAGTGCTCATGTCTGAGTGATTAACAGTTTTTGGAAAATTAATCACTGTCTTTTACCCTACTGGGATTTGAGTAAGCGCATTTCTTTCTCTATTTCTTTTTAAATTTTATTTTATTTTATTTATTTTTTTATTTTATTTTATTTTTTTTGAGTTGGAGTCTCACTCCGTCGCCCAGACTGGAGTGCAGTGGCTGCTCCCGGCCACTGCAGCCTCGACCTGCTGGGCTCCAGCTGTAGGGTGAAATTCAGGATTAGGTACCTAAGCAGTTATTATATAGGTGAAGTTTGGGCTGAGTAGGCACATTTCAAAAATTATATCTACATGAAGACTGAAGGACACTTTCAGTCAGAAGACTGAAAGACTCTTCTGGAGATTCTTTATGTGTTAGCTCCCTGCAATTGGACTGTTCTCTAGCCTTCCCAGAAGCTTGCTGAAATGAGAATGTGGGGGGTCATGGAAGAACACCAAGCTGGAAATAAAAGACAGATTTTGGCCAGGCTCGGTAGCTCAGTCTGTTATCCCAGCACTTTGGGAGGCCGAGGAGAGTGAATTGCCTGAGTCCGCGGGTTCGAGACCAGCCCAGGCAACTTGGTGAGACCTCATCTCTACAAAAAATCAAAACTGACCAGGCATGGTAGCGCGCACCTGTAGCTACTTGGAAGGGCGAAGCGGAAGGATCGCCGGAGCTCAGCAGGTCGATGCTGGGGTGGCTGTGAGTGTGCCACTGCACTCCAGCCTGGGCAACAGAATGAGACTCCAACTCAAAAAAAAAAAAAAAAAGATAGGTTTTGATTCCTGTTCTGCCATTTCCTACCTATGTGAACGTGTGCAGATCTTTCAAATGTTCTGAACACTGGTCAGTTTCTTCTTCTGTAGAACGGACAGAAGGTGACCTACCTTCCCAGCACGGCAGACCCCAGCCAATTAGGTGATTTTGTGCAAAATAGAAAAAGGCACTTCCACTGGGGGGACACAGCAGCTGAGTGAGTGGTATGCCAGCTCAATTTCAGCCTATATTTTCCCTTCACCAAGGCCCCCTGGGGCAGAGCACAACCTGGAATCCTATGCATCAGCCAAACTCCAGAAGTCTATTATCTTCCACCATTAGGAGCAAGCCTGGAGGAGGGACTGGGTGCGAACAGTGATGGGGCCTGCCTGGTTGCTTGGCTCCGACCTAACCACCTTAAGAAGGTGACTGACTTTTTACCTTCTTACTAATCTTGCTTTTACATGGATTCTTCTGTATTTTCCTCCCATCATTAATAATGTCATATTAACATTAGTTTTAAGAATATCACTCTTGGAGCATGTGCCCAGGAAAGCAAATTCCTTTTCCCTACTGGTCTCTGCCTGGGCCCCAGGTTGTTGAAGCGTTAAATGAGACCATGAGTGGGAGAAGCATCTGGAACATAATCCCAAGCACTGAGTTTCTTAGTTGTTTCTCTCTATATCCCTTCAAGGTATTCTGGTGTTTGTCTAGGTTTTCTCTGGCTGTTTTCTATACCAGGAATTTAGAGTGCTTAACCGCCAAGAAATATGATGGATGCTCCATTGAGGTATAAGATAAAAATGAAAACGTTTATTTCTATCTATGTTATTTATTTAATTTTTAGTCAGAGTCCCACTCTGTCACCTAGTCCGGAGTATAGTAGCACAATCACGTCTCACCACAGCTTTGACCTCCTGGGTTTAGCATCCCACATAGCTGGAACTACAGGCATGTACTACAAAGCGTGGCTAATTTTTTGGTTCTTTGTAGAGATGAGGTCTCACTATGCTGCCCAGGCTGATCTCGAACTCCTGGGTTCAAGAGATTCTCCCACCTCATCCCCTCAAAGTGCTGGGATTGCAGGGTCTGAGCCACTGTGCCTGAACTGTGTCTATTTTAAACTTAAAAAGGAAATAAATTAACTTTTTCTGCTATTTGACAAATTGATTGCTAGAGATATAAAGTAATTTTAAGCAGACATTCATATACTGGGTGGGCATGCTCAGCATTTTTTCTCTGGTATAGCTAAGTAATACAAGTGCTTGAAGACCACCGCTCAATTATCATATCTCTGTAGCCACCAAGCCAGATAAATGCAATCACATTTGTTATCCTTCCCTGCGTTCTTTTGATTTAAATAGTTGTTGCCCACTGCTTTATCTCTCAGGACAGAACTTTATAAATCTCATGGTGAAATTTTGTCTCTTCCCCTGACCTCATTTCTTATCTGCATTGAACGTGGGTGGCAGTAAGCTTTTTCCCTAAAATGTGACTTGTTTCGTATAAGATAATCTGTTATTTAGGATAAGGTCAAATTGGAATCCTATTGGTTTAATCCTAGATATTCAGTAAAATAAAATTAAAATGTGGGCTCTGAATCCAGGTCGTTCTGGGCTAGATGACATTAGGCAAGTTATTTAACCTGAGTTCATGCCTCAGTCTCTTTCTCTGTAAAATGGGAATGATAAGAGTGCCTGCTCCCATCGGATTAAAATGGCAGTTAAAAGAATGAATACTCATGACATTATGAGAATAGGGTCAGTTGCATACTAAACACAACAGAAGTTTGCTGCTGTCGTCAGCAGATATAAAGACCAATACGGCTCCAAACCAGAAGGACTAGTAGCATATTTGGGGATTCATCCACTTTCTCAGCAAATATCTACTGAGAAATAGAATACTAAGAAATGGTGGTCTCCCATGTGCCAGGCACTCTACTAAGTGTTGGTTGCTTAACTCAACTGTCAGCCTTATACTTCTGTATTGTGGGCTGCGTGTTCCATTGTCACTAGCTTGTGGTCCCATTACCATGCCAGAGGGGTCCACTCTGCATTGGGTTCAGTTTCTACTTCTATGATCACGGTAATGGACTTTGATGTTGCAGAATCACTATACACTTTGCTGTATCCATTTGACTTTCCATCCATTTGACTTGTTTCTTTTTTTTGGAGTTGGAGTTCACTCCATCACCCTGGCCAGAGTGCAATGGCACGCTTACAGCCACCTCAGCCTTCCAAGTAGCCAGAACTACAGGTGTGCTCTACCATGCCAGGCGAATTTTTTTTTTAATTTATTGTAGAGATGAGGTCTTGCCAAGTTGCCCTGTTCTCGAACCTGTGGGCTCAGGCAATCCCCTCACCTAGGCCTCCCAAAGTGCTGGGATTACAAGCTTGAGCCACTGTGCCCGGTCTCATTTGACATTTTAAGGTATCAACAGATTTTCCCTGCATGAGTAATTCTACATGTTAGTTGGGCATGGTGGCTCATGCCTGTAATCCCAGCATTTTGGGAGGTTGAGGCAAGAGAATTGCTTGAGCCCAGCAGCTCAAGACCAGTCTAGGCAACATAGTGAGAACTTATCTCTTAACAGCAACAAAAAAAGTATAATGTCACATGTCATTGCTGCATACTTGTTATTTGTCTTTCTTTGAACTGTTTGTTTACTGTTCATATAGTTCCACTTATGCGGGATTCAGTGTGTACTCTGCCTCATCTTACCTCTTTTTCAAAGAGAGTGCATTCTCTCTTTTCCAAATTGCAATCTTATGAGTCTGCTGGACATTTTTTTTCTTTTATTTTCTTCTGAATTGGAGTCTCCCTCCATGGTCCAGACTGGAGTGCAGTGGCACATTCACGGCCACTCCAACATCAACTTGCTGGGCTCCAGCAATCCTTCTGTCTCAGCCTTCCAAGTAGCCGCAACTACAGGTGCATGCTACCACGCCTGGCTAATTTTTTATTTATTGTAGAGACAAGGTCTCGCCAAGTTGCCCAGACTGGTCTTGAACTCACAGGCTCAGGCAATCCATACACCTCGGCCTCCCAAAGTGCTGGAATTATATAGACTGAGCCACCCAGCCTGGCTCTGCTGGACATTCTTACAGCTTAATATTCTTTTCGACAAACTGAAGCATTGGTGGGAGGATAGTGGTTCTCAATATGTTATAGGAAGAGAGCATTTAGATGCAATTATTTTACTATTGAATGCTTCTTTATTATTTTATCTCTCTCTTAATGATTTTTATCAAAGCTTAGTAAAATTTCCATTATGTTAAAGCCACTCATGTTAATCTATACATATAATCAGGATGGAGTAGAAAGAGAAGGGAAAACAATAAAGACTGGAATTTCTTTCACAGTACCTCCTTTCAGTCCTTTGACTTATGCACAAACTGATATCATCTTGGTGGACATCCAATTCAAGATAGAGTCTGATAAGGTGAGTACTTCATAGACAAATGACTGACCTCCCCAGGCTCCAGTGAAAGAAGAAATGCTATTTAAAAAAAAAAACAAAATCATGAATGTTCTCTAAGTATTTATTTTGTTGTGAATTATTCCATGACCTGACAAAACCAGGGTTTTATGTCCTTAGTCATGATGAACAAAGTTGGATATTTCATTTTCCAACATGTGGGCTAAGAGTAAAATGTAGGTGCTGGAACTGAACGTTGTATTCTCCAGGCAGAGGAAATGGACATTTATTGGATGTTACTGTTGCTTTCTTCGCACTAATGACATTATGAAAGCTCTTTGAGAAATATAATTTGAAAATATGATTTCTGTGTTTCAGGTCATGCAAGACAAGATAATCTGCCTTCCAAAAAGAGTTCAGCCGGCTCAGAACCACTCTTCCATTTCAAATGTCTCTCAAGCTGTTGCCACTCCCCTGCCTCCACCAAAACCCTCTCCTACTAATCCTGTCACTGTGGAAATGAAAGGCCTGAAGACGGATTTGGACCTGCAGCAATACAGCTTTATCAACCAGATGTGTTATGAGCGAGCCCTCCACTGGTATGCTAAGTATTTCCCGTACCTTGTCCTCATCCATACCTTGGTCTTCATGCTCTGCAGTAACTTTTGGTTCAAATTCCCTGGCTCCAGCTCCAAAATAGAACATTTCATCTCCATCCTAGGGAAGTGTTTTGACTCTCCTTGGACCACTCGGGCTTTATCCGAAGTGTCTGGGGAGGACTCAGAAGAAAAGGACAGCAGGAAGAACAACATAAGCAGGTCTAACACCGTCCAGTCTGGTCCAGAAGGCAGCCTGGTCAACTCTCAGTCTTTAAAGTCAATTCCTGAGAAGTTCGTGGTTGACAAATCTACTGCAGGGGCTCTGGACAAAAAGGAAGGTGAGCAGGCAAAGGCCTTATTTGAGAAGGTGAAGAAGTTCAGGCTGCACGTGGAAGAAGGGGATATCCTATATGCCATGTACGTTCGCCAGACCGTACTTAAGGTTATCAAATTCCTAATCATCATTGCATATAACAGTGCTCTGGTTTCCAAAGTCCAGTTTACAGTGGACTGTAACGTTGACATTCAGGACATGACTGGATATAAAAACTTTTCTTGCAATCATACTATGGCACACTTGTTCTCAAAACTCTCCTTTTGCTACCTGTGCTTTGTAAGCATCTATGGATTGACGTGCCTTTATACCTTGTACTGGCTGTTCTACCGTTCTCTAAGGGAATATTCTTTTGAGTATGTCCGGCAGGAGACTGGAATTGATGATATTCCAGATGTCAAAAATGACTTTGCTTTTATGCTTCATATGATAGATCAATACGACCCTCTCTATTCCAAGAGATTTGCAGTGTTCTTGTCTGAAGTCAGTGAAAACAAATTAAAGCAGCTGAACTTAAATAATGAGTGGACTCCTGACAAACTGAGGCAAAAGCTGCAGACAAATGCCCACAATCGACTGGAATTGCCCCTTATCATGCTCTCCGGCCTTCCAGACACTGTCTTTGAAATCACAGAGTTGCAGTCTCTAAAACTTGAAATCATTAAGAACGTCATGATACCTGCCACTATCGCACAGCTAGACAATCTCCAAGAGCTGTCTCTGCACCAGTGCTCTGTCAAAATTCACAGCGCGGCTCTCTCTTTCCTAAAGGAAAACCTCAAGGTCTTGAGCGTCAAGTTTGATGACATGAGAGAGTTGCCCCCCTGGATGTATGGACTCCGAAATCTGGAAGAGCTCTACCTGGTTGGCTCTCTAAGTCACGATATTTCCAAAAATGTCACTCTTGAGTCCCTGCGGGACCTCAAAAGCCTTAAAATTCTCTCTATCAAAAGCAACGTCTCCAAAATTCCTCAGGCAGTGGTTGACGTCTCCAGTCATCTCCAGAAGATGTGCATACACAATGATGGCACCAAGCTGGTGATGCTGAACAACTTAAAAAAGATGACCAATCTGACTGAGCTGGAGCTGGTTCACTGTGACCTGGAGCGCATTCCTCACGCCGTGTTCAGCCTGCTCAGCCTCCAGGAGTTGGACCTGAAGGAAAATAACCTGAAATCTATAGAAGAAATTGTGAGTTTTCAACACTTGAGGAAGTTGACAGTGCTAAAACTGTGGCATAACAGCATCACTTACATCCCAGAGCATATAAAGAAACTCACCAGCCTGGAACGTCTGTCCTTCAGTCACAATAAAATAGAGGTGCTACCTTCCCACCTCTTCCTATGCAACAAGATTCGATACCTGGACTTATCCTACAATGACATTCGATTTATCCCACCTGAGATCGGAGTTCTACAAAGTTTACAGTATTTTTCCATCACTTGTAACAAAGTGGAAAGCCTTCCAGATGAACTCTACTTCTGCAAGAAACTGAAAACTCTGAAGATTGGGAAAAACAGTCTATCGGTACTTTCACCGAAAATTGGAAATTTACTATTTCTATCCTACTTAGATGTTAAAGGCAATCACTTTGAAATCCTCCCTCCTGAACTGGGTGACTGCCGAGCTCTGAAGCGAGCTGGTTTAGTTGTGGAAGACGCTCTGTTTGAAACTCTGCCTTCTGATGTACGGGAGCAAATGAAAACAGAATAACTTATTTTTCGTTAAAGTTTGACTGAAACACGCTTCTACCAAATACAGTATGAATAATTAGGTAGTCTTAATGCCTTTCCTATTTTATTTTATTTTTCTTTTTCACACAAAACATAATGTACACAAAGATTCAGTAAGGAGTACGTATTTTTTAATAAAAATTTAATTGTATTTTTTCAATATTAATATTTTAAAATTTTATTTGTCTTGGAACCTAATGTATCTATGATTGTTTTCTACTGACAGAAACAGAGGGTTCCATCTGCATTTTTTTTTTTTTTTTTAGTTCATTCTTGTAAATGAGAGGGACTTATAAGTTGCATGCCTTTCGGTATTTTTTAAATAAAGGAAGATATTTTGCCAAGGTCATTTTTAGCTTGTTTACACCTCTACAGGGTCCTTATTTTAATTTTCATTGTGTATGTGCAAAGGAGTTTGTCTTAGTTATTTTAATACCAGCTGCCTTCTCCATTGGCCAAGTCCTTCATTTGACAGACACCTCCTCTCTGGAGTGCAGCTTCACATAAGTGCATTGTCACAGAGTATTATTTTAGAAATTTCCCCCTGCCTCCACCAAAATTCTGAACTGTATTATTTCATATACCTGACAGTTATCGTTATCCTTAGGCAAGGCTAAGGATATGTGAAGAAAATAATCTTTAGTTAGTTTGTATGCTTAGATCAGTCATTTATAATTTTACCAACATTTTACAAATATCGTTTAAAAGCTAAACACAGAGAGGCTCCCTCAACTCTTAATACTGCTATATAGTACTGGTAAATAACCGAGGGGAACCTAGATTTATTTTAATATTTTAGGAGGTAATTAAGTTTAAAAATCATAGAATTAGAAGCCTGTTTTTTGAGTAATTTAATCATCCTTGATGTCTTGATATGAGGATGCATCAGATGGAAAAAATTTCACTACTAAAGCACCCTGTTAAAGACCTGGTGTGTTCCAGTCAGACCCTCTTCCTTCCTCATTGCCGTGTGACAGTGGTAATCTATTCAAAGTCTGCCTGCTGTGCAGAATAATTCACTTATATATACAGTCGGCCATGTCCCTGGGTTCCATATCTATGGATTCAACCAACTTTGGACGGAAAATATTTGGAAAAAAATTTGCATCTATAATGAACATGTACTGACATTTCTCCTCCTCACTATTCCCTAAACAATATAGTCTAATAACTATTTGCATAGCATCTACATTGTTTTAAGTATTATAAGTAATCTAGAGATGATTTAAAGTATACAGGAGGATATGCATAGGTTTTATGCAAACACAGCATCATTTTATATCAGGGACATGAGCATCCTCACATTTTGGTATCCACAGGGGGTCCTATGGATACTGAAGAGTGTCTGTATACTAATCAATTTCCCTCAAGCCTGCCCTTGCTGTGAATACCAGTGACGCAAGCACGGGAATTCTATCTGCTCTCTGGCTTAAAATATATATCTCTTCTAAAATGGTTCTGTTAACACCTTGTTCACACGAGAATAAATTGCTAAGTGGTTGTTACTTAGCAATAATTTTTGCCTGACCATCAGCAGAGGTTTTATATACCTTTGTAACTTAAAATCCAACACAGTATGGGCTCTTGACTGAAATATTTCACTGACTATTAAGCATACAGGACAGGACAACGAAATAAACTGGTTTTGCCCTTGACCCAGGGCCACTACTACTGATCATGGGAACTTAGCTGTATATGCCAAATTCAGATTGACCATTTTTTGAGCCCTGGACTGATCTAAGAAAGTTTTGAGACCTAGCAATGAAAGTGGAAGGATGATTCAGGGCTTCAAAATGCTGGTTTTAACAACTCCTTGAACCTGGGACTAACACATCACTACTTTGAGTCCCATAAGGAAGGCAACTTGCTCAGCAGAAATGTGTACCTCAGTTGTGTTTTCAATTTTAAGATGTATCACAGGGTGAAGAATTAGGGAAAGCAGTGCTTTCATTTGTTTAATAATCTAGTTGTACAGACCAAAGTGTGTTGAAGTTTCTGTTCTATGTTAATATTTCAGAATGGTGATTTTATATAGCTGATTTATTTAGACCTGGAATTAAAATAATGTTTGGGATTTTAACACAGCTATAGTTCTCGTATGGCAAAGTATTCACTTCCAGAATATTGTTGGGATCCTAAGTTTGAGCAGGGTATTATATTTAAAAATAAAGCCCTGTCTGTTTTAAACAAACAAATAATTTTTTGGCAGATTGTCCATGGCTGGGCATGACAAAAATTCCCTATTGAAAAGTAAGCTTAGATAACTGTTGGAAAAACACTGGGTGCACTATTTTTCTGAATAAAATTTATAGTTGTTTCTGTATCACCCTTCGAATGGGTCTATTCAGGTTAAAAATCATATTTGTGCTGAAGTCTTTATCTGATGTTAACTAATAATCTCTTAAGAGTTCATAACTGAAATAAGTTACTAGTAATTCATTTTTTTATCACTTGTAACAATTTGCTCAAAACTCTAAAAGAATTTGATTTGGTTTTTTATTGATTTTGCAGGCTGACCCCCCCAACCCAGTTTTGATAACATCCAGTAAATCAACATAGTTCTATATAATTATGCTTTAACTAAAAAGGAAAATTCATAGATGTTCCTATTAGATTTATAAAAATTCAAAAATCTCAAACTTAATTTTGAGTCTAAGTTTCCTGACTCTGGCCCTTTTTAATATTGTAAGTTTGTGTTCACTTTCTTAAGTAAAAAGCATTTAGTTACTCCTTAGCCTTTAAATGAAAAACTCAGGTAAACGAACTGCTGACTTTTTAAAAGTTCTTTAACTGTTCAACTTATTGCAGAGGGATATTTGCCTAATCACTTTCTGTATTTTTCAAGTGCTCTTCCTAGAAAGGAACAACGAACTCTATTTCCCTAACCGCTACAGGATTCATGAGAAGCTGCTTGTGTAAATATAAAAGTAGCCTATGTATTCTTAACTCCTACGGCTGCTTGAAGCTCTTAATGGATATGCTTTTGGGTCAGTTTTAACGATTAAGTACAGAACAAACAATTGTTTGGTGATGGTCTGGTGGAAAGGGAGCATATATGTATATCCCAATGGAACCTGCCTAAGAAGGCCACACCTCTGAAAACCATTGCATTTTCTTTTTATGTGTTGGGTTTTGTTTTAACACAGCACCTTTAAACTAAAGATTCTTGATACAGTGAAATTTGTTATTTACAGTTGTAAATTTTTCTTATTCTTCACCCACCTCTTTGTCTGTCGTTGTATTTCCCAACTATTTTAATGAGTTCTAACAACTTACATGGCATCGGATTCAGCAGGCCCTGCTTTTTCAGAAAGACTTGGAAAATACATCTGCTATGAGCATTTTGTTCAGAGGTGCCTGTTTAGCTGGTCTTCCAGTCATCTTTGTGGAGAGAGTCTTAAACAACTGGAATGTTCCTTGTGTTACTTGGGATAAATGAAGTCCAAATTCTTGTAATATGCTATTTCATGATTCTGATATTAAGAGAAAACAAAATTTTCTATCTCTTGTTAACATTTCCCCCAAGAGAAGTAGTGCTGTTGCTTATTTTCTACTATTAAAAAAAAAATCCGTTCTTGAAGTAGTTTATTTTACCCTCGAATCTAATTTCATGCCAAATTCCTGATAAATGAAATGATATTTTTATTTTTATTTTTAATTCTTTTTTTTTTTTGAGTTGGAGTCTCACTCTGTCGCCCAGACTGGAGTGCAGTGGCCACTCTCGGCCACTGCAGACTCAACCCACTGGGCTCCAGCGATCCTTCCGCCTCAGCCTTCCGAGTAGCTGGAATTACAGGCACGCGCTACCATATCCGGCTGATTTTTTGATTTATTGTAGAGACGAGGTCTCACCAAGTTGCCCAGGCGGGTCTCGAACACGTGGACTCAGGCAATCCAGATATATTTCTTTAAACAGTAAACATTCGTGATCTGTCATGAAACTGTCAGCAGTACTTAGCAGTGAACAGATAAGCTAAATTTTAATATATCTCCAATTTGTTTTTAGAGACTAAATGAAGACTCAACTGACATTCTCCTATGAATCCTGAACATGATAATGGTATTTAAACAGTTCACATTTTGGTAGGATCTTAATAATTCAGAATAGAGTTCCGTGCCAACCTCAAGTTAGCAAAACAAATTGGCAAAACAGCATAGCTATTATTGAGGAGACTACCTAAAAGATCAGAAGATTTTCTCATCTTTTCTTGTCTATTTAGTAACATAGTAAGAAAACTCAGATAGTCTTCATCAGACTTGCCATGATTTTTGAGATTTAAGCCTCAGTGACATGCTCTTGATACTGTTTCAAGCCAGCTTCCCAGAGTCATTCACTGACAAAATAGCATCCTTAAGTTCATTTTAGGGAGATAGAGGAAGGTCTCCTCCTGCCCCAAGGAATTTTCTTTTAATCAGAAGACCATAAAAGGGGTATATAACTCTGGACAACTTGATTTCTTGGCCGCATTAAATACCAGTTCCTACGCATGGTTTTTACTGTAGTGTAAATTTGCTTCTTTTTTCTGAATACCTCTCCCCCCCCACCTTATTCTGCTTCCTTCATGAATATTTATTGGGGTTGAAACTCCATGCCTTATGTGCTCTCTCGGTTTTCCTTTTGCCACTTATTTGCTCTCACTGTCTCTGTGTTCAGAGTGTGTCAAATCTCTGGCAAAACCTCTAAGACTGTCAAGAAAACGCTTGAAAGTTGATTTTGTCATAGTGCAAATTCATGATGAAATGTCTTAATGTTATTTGGCTATGTAGTACATAAGAACAGAAAAATAAAGTCATTTTTGTAATTGAGATGTGTCCCTTTCTTAACTCATTTTTAGAAACCAAGTTTATCTTTTGCATTTCTTAGATGATTCGTAAGCCTCCTTGAGCGCTGCAGGAAACAGACTGACTGCATTCTTTCACTTTGTGTTGAATTCATTTCTGTAATTGTGACTAATTATTTCCTTCCTTAATTCACTGTACTGGATCTACCTAAGGTGCCCCTGGAGTTTCATTTGGATAATTAGTGCCTTAATATGCAATCTGGAACGCAATTTCGGTGCCTTTGCCAGGTCAGACTGTACAATGGCTGTCCAGCTCGGCTTTCAGTAAACACTTTTATGGTGATGATTGTGGTGTGACTTAAAAGACTCATAATAGTCCTTCTCT